ACAGGCTCAGGGGGATCCCTCTGTAGGCTACTGGAGTTCTTTCTCTGTGTAGCACCCCCTAATCTCTGACTTCTTAACTGAAAGTGCCTGCTGAGCTCTGCTTAGGTTTGTTCACTTTGCACTATTGCCTGAAAAGAATTTAGGCAGAGCTTTTGGGCAATTATCAGGGTCACCATGTCTGTTTCCCTCTTTCAAAGGGCTTCTTGTTGTACAAAGTCTGACAACAATTGTTTCATATATATTCCCCATTTTTCTGGTTGTTTACAGAAGCAGAGTAAACTTAGCTTTAGTTATTCCATCATGAATGGAAACAAAGTTCCTTACACATTTATCTTTTTCTATAGTTCTCTCTGCAAGTATGCCATTAAAGCCTTATTTCAATGGTTTTATTTCTTAGTAATTATTTTTTATAATAGACATTTTAATTTCAGTGATTATATTTATCATCTCTTGTAGTATTTAACTAATTTTTAAGCCTGCCTCATTCTATTTTAATTGTAGTTTATTCTTTGTTCCTAGTTTATATACCTTATTTTAAAAAATATTTGAAAAATATTTATTTTATATTCTGTATCTAATAATTCATATATCTGAAATCCTTATTAGGGCTAATCCTACTATTTGGTATTTGTACTGAGTCTTGCTCACAGTGCTTTGATTCCTTGTGTATCTTGTGATTTGAGGTTCTGACCGCTTATTTGATAAAGCTTTATCTATTGAAAGCTTTTGAGACTTGGGCTTAAATACCCAGAGATTTATTGTTGTCTCTGCCAAGATCTCACAGTGTTGTTAACCTGAAATTGCTTTATTAATTTACCAACTTGGGGTTTTCTGGACCACACAGATGGTGTAAATTAAAACCTCACATATACATTAGGGAAGCTGTGGTATAAATTCTTGGAGGAATTTCCCCCTTCTATCTAGAGCCGTAACCCCAAAAGATAACTGTTCTTATCAACTCCTTTTCTGGTGAGTGAACCTTTTTACTGTTTGTACTTTTTTCTGAGGGCATAACACTTCAAGAATTGGAGGTTGGTGTCATTTCTAAGTCTTCACCATTCATGGACCCACAGTCTTATTTCCCACTTTTCACTAGCTTTTAGAAAGTGAACTTGTAGGTTAGGGAGACTGGAAAGTCCTCAAGAGCAAGTGCAGAATTACTACTTTTGTTTACTACTTTCATTTCTATATCCTTCATCTTCTGCCTCCAAGATTTTCATTATCATTATTTATTTAATACTGTTAAGGCAGCTCTGTATTCAAAAGGGATATTTACAATATTTAATGTGGGATTTCTAGGTGATCTGTGGTGGGAGGATTTTTTTAGGCTAGATAGAACACCAGTACTGTTTGAAACACAAATGTACATCTTCCACTTCAATTCCTTTTTTTTTTTAAGATTTTATTTATTTATTTGACAGACAGAGATCACAAGTAGGCAGAGAGATGGGCAGAAAGAGAGGGGAAAGCAGGCACCCCACTGAGCAGAGAGCCCAACTCGGGGCTCGATCCCAGGACCCTGGGATCATGACCTGAGCCCAAAACAGAGGCTTAACCGACTGAGCCACCCAGGCGCCCCTTCCACTTCAATTCTTTACATGGTTGGCACACTCTCTTGTCCTAGGTCTCATCCAAATGCCCACATTCTATCTTAAGTAACTGCATTCCCCAACCAGTTGCTCTGCATCACATTATTCCTTTTATTTTCCTCTCCTAACACACTGTAATAATCTCTTCCCAAAGGGTCTTCCCATGCATATTGTCTTGTCTCCCACTGGGTGTGTAGGAGCTATGACAGCAGGTACTAAATCCCTCTTCTCTACTGTTTATTTAGCCCCAAGGGCAGTGTGTATCACAGGATGGACGTGCAAATATTTGTTGGATGAATAATTGTTTTCTTGAAGCAAATAGAAATCAAAACACAACATAAAATACACTTTAAAAAACCAGATTATGCCAATGAGGACAACATACGAATGCTCAGAATTCTCAGCTTGGTGTTTATAACTTGTGATATCAAATTGTCAAAAAGTTATATAATTGCTCTTCAATAATCTCAGAGAGGGCAGCTGAGTTAAAAACATATTATTGCCTACCAATAGGATACTCTTTTTTCCAGAAATCAAGAATTGGGCTATCCTAAATCATTTACCTTCTTTATAATTGAGGGGTTATTCAGATATCTGGACAAATGTGGCAGCTTCAAATACAATAGCTATTTCCATTTGAACATGGCTTCCATAATGAATTCTGAAATTGTTATTCTTTTTTCAAATAAAAGAAAATTAAGAAAGTGATTTTATTTCAGTATGTTGGGTTTTTATGAAGTTTTTGACAAAATTGTGAAAATGTCCTTCAAAGAGTAGCCTAGAAATATCTTCAGGACATGACATCTCCCTATGGCCAAACAGAATCAAGAGTGTCTGTGTAACTTCCTTCCATGTGTAAGTAGTCAGGAACTATTTCACAGAGTACTGAGTACTGTATTTTGACATACCAAATCCCCAATAACAACCTTGAGCTTAGAAAACGTGATCTAAATATAACTAATTCCCTCCTTGTAAATCTTAGTACTTACGTTTTAATAAAATTTTCACACTGTTCATAACAGGTTTCTCTTGGGAAAAAACATCTCTTAAAACAAAGGCAATCATATACCCTAACTCTGAACAACAACAACAACCATAAAGTAAACATTTATTGAATACTTCTAATGGATGAGGCTCTGAGTTAAAAGCTTTATCCCTATCGGCGAGTAAACTGACATAGAGAGATTAGGGAACTTGCTCAAGGTTAGTTAGTGGCATTCAATAATTCCATATACTGCTTCACAAAGAAAAATATATTCAATGTTATGTTTTGGAAACAGAGTCAGCTCTTGAATTTCTAAGACTGATGATTCTGTATTCTTTTTTCTTTGGTTGTTGGAAAACCGCATCAGAAGTCTATATTATGAGTAGAAAGAATATGTGTTTGGGTCCTTATATGGAATATGAATCTAAATCAGTGGGAGGCTTCATTTATGCACATTTCCTCAATTTTTTGGAAGTGTCTAGGTTGTATATATTTTAAGCATAATATTAGTGACATTCCACTCAAAATTGCATAATGAATATTATTTCATTTCAGAGGCAATCAGTATTTGATTTGAGCCTGTAGCCATGAATCTTGTTGAACTACTTGTTCAAAATGCTCCCTAACAAGGTAACTTTCTTTGGCTAAATATCTTGGCTGGTTTATGATGACATTGAAGAAGATGCTATGTCAGACACCTGGAATCTAAAATAAAACTTTTCCAGGGTGCCTGGGTGGCTCAGTGGGATAAAGCCTCTGCTTTCAGCTCAGGTCATGGTCCCGGGGTCCTGGGATCGAGCCCCACGTCGGACTTTCTGCTGAGCAGGGAGCCTGCTTCCCCCCCTTCTCTCTCTGCCTGCCTCTCTGCCTACTTGTGATCTCTCTCTGTCAAATAAATAAATAAAATCTTTAAAATAAAACTTTTCCATTTTCATATATCTCACATTTGGTTATTTTGTTTCTTCAACTCTGATCACTTTAAAAAACTTGTTTCTGGAGTTTCTCTACTTCCTGGAGGTGGTGAGTACTAAAGTGAGGTATGGTACTTCTGTAAGACTTTGATAAGTATTGTCTAAAGCTGGAGAATTACTGAACGTGTTTTGGTCAGCTTGGCCTGTATTTCATTTTTTTAAACTTTATGTTCTTTTGCTTGTAAGTTTTCTAGTCCCCTCCCCCTCGAATTCTTCCAAGATTTAAGTCAATTGGAAAGTTCTCAGTACTAAGTGGCTAAGAAAGAAATACTCACATGCACCTGGACCACCACCACCACCCATACCTTGTAATGATGCCCTATAGTGATAGGGAGCACCCATCTGCTTCCCTGGTAGGGTGGGGAAGTATTAAGGATTTTCTAGAACAGTTGAAATTTGATAAAGACTGTGTTCACCTAGTTTATTGCACCTAAATAATGGGTTCTTTGTACAATAGACATATGTCCCTGAAAAGACTACATAGGCTATTTCTCCAACTTATGTTTTCCAATGGTAGTAGCTTAATTTCTGTTTTTTTTTCTGTCTTATGAAGCTAGAGACAAAAAAAAGTATAAAACAAATAAGCATGGAGATGAAAAGTATAGCATAGGGATTATAGTCAGTAATACTATAATAATGTATGGTGACCGATGGATGACTACATTAGCACTGAGTAACATATAGTAGAACTGTTCAATCACTGTGCTGTACACTTGAAACTAATATAGTATGTCAACTAAACTTCAATAATAAATTTTTAAATGGTACAATGGTCTCATATTTAAGAATATTATGAATGTCTACAGAAAAGGGGAGATGTAAAAGGATGGACTCTTCCTTAAGCACCTGGAATGAAATAATTTCTTTGTCTCAGATTCAGAATGAATTGTCACCTACACTACAATTTTCTGGAAAGGAACTATTGAAATAGCAAAATTCTAATTTTACTTTGTAACACTGCCATGATTGGACCAAGCGTCTAAAGGTCCAGCATTTGTGGGGCATGGTGTCCTTGCAAAGATTTTTAGAACAAAACAAAACAGAAAAACTTAACAGATGATAGAGAAAAATGATACCAAAGTATTTAATGTCACATTCCAATATTAAAATTAAAATTTAGGGTTTTTTTCAAATTAGTTGATGTAATTTTCCTTTTTGCTTGAAAATTTTCAAGACTTAATTTTAAGAGGTAACATAGTATGGGATATTAATTTTCATGGAGAAAATAAAACTCTATTTCCTCCATTATATAGATGAACACAATTTGTTTAAGAAATTTTAAAAAATTACTTCCAACTTTCTATTGTAAATGTCTATTAACCCATGAATGTCATTTATTGTCTCAGGATTTCAGTTCTTGCATCAGTGAAGCCCCTAGGATTTAGAATAAATACTAATTAAGAGGCAAACTCCAGTCCCAAACACCCTATCTAGTCTAAGGGGTCATTCACTCACCTGGGGTTTTGGCAGGCACTCCCGGTAGTGTCTCCTCCCTTCATCACATCTGGGACATTTTCATCTTTCAAATGCTCCTCTGCTTCTTGTAGGGGCCTGGTTTCAGAGGGGGAATGTTCAGTTTCTCCAACACACTCTTCTCTCTGATCCGTTTCGATGTGAATTAAAGGCACTTCTCTTGAGCAAAGTGACCTCCTGGTGCGGTTTACAGGCATCGTCCCATAGCACGAAGAAGTTTCCTTTTTAAAAGAATCTAAACTGTTGTGGTTTGTAAGAGGAGCAGCTTTGCTCTGAGACAACACTGAGGGCTGTTTGCTTTCAGTAACGGAGCCTTTCCTTTGGTTATCAATGGGCTCCTGAACAAGAAGACTTGGCCCACTTTGCACTCTGCTTGAAGCTGGTCTGTTTGCACATTTCTCCACTTGCATGGGAGAGCCACCAGAGGCAGGATCAACCTCAGCTGCCTTGGCATCATCCACTATAATTTTGTTCTTCTGCATGAGGGCTTTGATTGAGTTTGCCCACGTCTCGTGAATTAACATGTTGGTGATCTGGTCCGTTCCACCTCTCCAATACAAGCAAGAGTCAGATTTGCAGAGACCTGAGGAGGAAGCGCTACTGACTGGATGTACACTTAGGAAATCTTGCTGGCTGTTTTGAGCGAAGCCATCTAAAGAGTTGGCTTTGATGGGTGCATTCACTGTCAGCCTGGCCCCCAGGGATCTGCTATCTGGCATGGACGACTGTCTGTAACACAATGGGGATCGCAGAGAAGGTGACAGTAAGCCAACGGTCCAATCCTGGCTGCTTCGTCTGGAGGAGGTGCTGTCCCTGCTTTCTCTTTCAATGTCCCTCAGCATGTACCTATAAAACTCCTCCGTTATGCTCTCGGTGCTGGACTGCTTAGAGGGACAGCTTGGCCTCACACTGAGATGGTCATTTTTACGGCATGCCTGTTGCATGGCCGAGTTCAGGATGCTGCTGGCGTTCTTGCCCGCATAGTAATCCAGCAGTAACTCAAACCCTCTTCCTTCATTTTCCATCTGGTTTACCATGAACCTGGAAAACTCCTCAGTGATGCTCTCACAGCTGGACTGCTTGGAGACAGAGCTGGCCCTGCTAACTGGCTGACTTAGGGTACTCATTAAACCCAGGCTGTTTACATAAGCCTGGGTGTTCGAGTCCTCCTCTGGGATGCTTTCACAGCTGGAGGCCTTCGGCCGGTTCCACCTGTCTCCACTGAGTAACCGGTTCCGGGGATGGCTCTGGGCTTGCCAGACGCCGTCCACCATGGAGAACTCTGTTAGGTTCATGATCTTGGCTGCCACTTCGTTTGCAAAAATACTGACAGAATCCGGGACGTCCTCAAGGTTCATTGACTCATCCATGACCCTGTTCATCAGCTTCTCCTTAAGCTCCGGGTGCTCATCGGTTTTCCTCTTGATCTCGCTGAGTCTTGGTGGCTTGTGCTTCCTCACTGCGGCCCCACTGGTCTGGCTTTCCTTCTTCCTCTTCAAGGACCGGCAGGATACGTTCGGGGAAACCGGAAACTCATTCCCTCTCTTCCACGCACAGAACCAGGGTTGTTTTCCATTTGAGTTGTCAAGGCAAATTGCTGCGATTTCAGTTGCCATGGAGACAATCATCTCTGCTAATTCTTCCGCGAAGTCTGTAATGCAGTATATATCTGCATGTTTTGCCTGTAGCACAGGTTGAGCAGGAAGCAGCAAGTCATTCCCTGACAATGACAAGTTCACTTGAATTTCATTGTTTAGAGGGGAGGCACAATTATACTTCTCCTGGGCGTTTGCACTGGTGCTGTCCTCTGCATCCTGGGAACCTCTGCTGCCCTTGCCCACTGCCAGTGTCCACTCTCCCTCCGAAGCGGCTCCGTACTCATTCTCACTGTACCTGCGCATCTGATGAGGGTCGTGTGGATCTTCTCCTGCCATTGCTTTTTGATATATTTCTCTGGGGGGTGTTTTAGCAGTTGAAGAATGAGGCTCTCTGGGTCTACAGGGCCACTGAGATTGCAGCATGGGGTTCTGGAAGAGGCCTGGCTTCACTGGGCCCTTGCTATCTTGCTTTGGACACACATCATCTGCAAGATCATTGATCACAAGACTAGCGCTGCGTGGATTGCTAAGTGGATAGCTGCTGGAATACTCAATGGCTTTGGTCCAGGCTAGACTGCCAGCCTGGTCAGGTGGCCGGTAGCCTAATTCTGCTTCCGTACAGCTGATGGCCTCATTAGCGAGGACAGCGGGGCATTCCCCAAGCTGTACAAAATGACTCATCTTCTTGAATGTAAAGCATATCACACGGAAGAGCAGCTGACTGGCACTTTCCATCAAGGTGTCGAGGGTTTCAGGTGAATGCCTGCTGTCATTGTGATCAAGTATTTTGTTTTTCTGGTGAGCTTCATCAATGGAATGCTTCAGGATAACACTGGACAGGGTCTGTGCCAGATCATCCCTGAGGACATTTTCTGAGCTGACATTTTCAAAGACCTGAGGCTTTGAAGCAGTTTCTATGATTCTCTTGCTCATGGATTCCATGAGGTCTCCAACGCTGCTGCAGGGACCAGGCCTTGTTAAAACCAGAGCAGCCTCCTTGAGCAATGCCCAAGCTATGGCCTCATTTCCCAGCTCCAGGCTCCCCGCTGTCGCCAGACTGCAGAGCGGGGGGACGGCTGTACAGGCCTCAGCTGCACACGAGAGGCCACTCGGAGCCTTCGCCTCTCCTGTTTCACCCAGGCCACACACAGCAACGGCACTCGCCACCTGAGTCATGCCACACAGAGCAGATGGAAAGGAGTATTCACTGATGGAAGGCTCCTTGAGTACCTGGGATATTTGAGCTTGCAGTGGTTCATGGCCTCCCACTGAAGGGGTCGAAACCAAAGATTCTTGCTCCATTTTGAGCCTTTCTGTGGCCTGAGGACTGGAAATGGTTCCAATCACAGTGGCCGCGCAAGCCAGTGCAACTTCTAGAGCACTCTGAGGGTGTCTGCTGGAGTTCTCTCCAGAGAGGACACCTGAGGTTTCAACGGAGACCTCCACCTCAGACCATGAGGGGATGCCTGCCTCAGGGGCAGCATCACTGCCATCTGGACTCTGAACAATGACAATTTTGGGGAGCTTGTTCCATGACTGAGGGACCACCATACCTTTTGTGGAACAGCCACTGGGTAGCAGAGCATTTCCGACAGAAACACTGACTGTGGAATCTTGGGGAGGTGTAGGCTGAGACTGGGACAACCGAATAAATGCATCTTGCAGCACGGATTCTGCTAAATTTGTAGCATACTCGCCAGTAGTGGCTTCTCCGTCCTGTTTGGGAGGAAAGGAGTTTGTGCCATCTTCACAGTCCCTTGGATCCAAGCTGTTGTCATGCTTAGTGAGGGTGCTATATATGGGAGGCCCACCGTTCTTAACCATCCTGGAGAAGTAAGCATCCCCAGGAATATATGGTGCCTGTGATTTTTCCACATGACCTTTAACATTTTCTAAATAATAATAATTTGTGGCTAGGCTCTTATTCTGCACAGCTTCACCTTTCCATTCCAATGGCTTGGGTGATGCACCAAGACTCTGCAAAAGGGTGTCTTCTACTTTTTCCACCGATCCTTCTGCCTTCGTCATCGGATGGTATTTGCCAATATATTTGTCTTCCAGAGCATAAAACAACTTTTCCTTGTTGTTATTCCATTCCTGCAGAGTGGCTTCCTTTGGTCTTTTACTTTCCAAAACATTAGCTGAGACATTTATATTCTCATAACCTATTGAAGACAAAATGAGGGCCCACCATTACTTTTTGGATAGCAGGATCTCATGAGATTACTTTTTAAAAATGCCTTATTTTTTTCAAGAAAAGTAACAATTACTTTTTTAAAATGCCTTATAGCACTAGGGGTGGTTCCCCGCCCCCCAAATAAACAGAATTTAGAAAAACAAATGAATCCGAAAATGTTTTTGAATTTCATTATAGAACCACACTCAACAAAATGTCTTTCGATGTGAGATATAAATGTCCGCACTAGAGTGGGAGAAGATGGCAGTGGGAGCTGAGTGCCGATCCTTTCTTTCTTTCTTTAAAGATTTTTATTTATTTATTTGAGAGAGAGAGAGAGAGAGAGAGAGCAGAGGGAGAAAGAGCACGAGGGGGGTGAAGGAGGGGCAGAGGGAAAGGGACAAGCCGACCGATTTGGGGGCTTGATTTCAGGACCCTGAGATCATGGCCTGAGCTGGAGGCAGACGCTTAACTGACTGAGCCACCCAGATGCCCTTAATTATGTTTCCCCATGGCTCCATGGGAAAAGTAACCCAGACAGTTGCATCTCAGAGCTTCCCAGTACACATGGAAGGAGGAGGGAGAATGTTTACAGCAACCTCCACAGTAAGCTTTGCTGCAAAAATTTGCTCTGAAGTTTGGGTAGGACTTGTCCCAGGGACTGACAACAGCATCGACAGGATCCCTTCCTCTGTGGCTAAGAGTGGGGAAGAAGAACACATCGTTCACTGAGCTCTTTGAATCTGTCATTCAAAACTGAATAAAGGCTAAGGGCTAAGTACTCTCCTGCCTTATTTCCTTCTGTCCTTACCATAAATAACAGGTAAATATTATAAATACATATATAGCTGAATAGAGTAAGTGTTAAGCAGTGCTAAGAGGCACTATTATACTCCGAAATACTGGATAAAGAAACTGGGGCTCAGAAGGACTAGGTAACCAAACCAGGCTTCCCAGCCTCTAAGAGGCAGTGCAAGAATTAGGCCAGTTTAAGTTGGCATCAGCTAATGGTAGCTTTATGGAAGTCTCAGGGAAGATAACTTTCCTCCCTGTGATAGTCTTAGTCTCTTGGCAGGCAGGAGGATGTCCTTCAGCATCCCCAAGGCATCTTTAGGGAAATGGAGCCATCCAACCATTGGGTCCAAGTGCTTGAGTCGGCAGCTCACTCATGGTCTGTTATCCTCCTGTCCTCCTTAAACTCTGTAAGTGAAGATTATGGTGTGTCAGCCAAACCGACATGGCCTGAAACTTTCCTGAAATTCCAGTCATTTTTAGAGGGTGACTAATGCGCATTTGTTTCATGGGGCAGTTCTCACCGCTCCTGTAGTCTTCCACCTCGTTTTCCTCCTCCAAGTGCTCAGAGGCGGTGAGAAAGTCCTCCTCGATTGAAGACAGGGAGCAGTTGGTGTCATCCTCCACTTTTAAGATACTTGTTTCCAGAAGGAGCTGGCGCTCCTGCACCAGTTCCAGACCGATCAAAAATTTGTTGATTTCAAAGATGATGCAGTTGGTACTGTTTGCCCTGTTCCCTCTTGCACACTGGACCAAGCAGATATCTGGCAGCCAAGGGCACTGAATGTAGAGAGGAAAAAACGTATTTATTGAAAGAGAGAATAAAAAACTATCAGTTCTGACCTTTCTTCTTCCACCAGTCTTTCTTGTTACAAGGAATGGGGGACATTTAAAATACTTGGAATATCTTCTGGGCTTCGATGGATGCATTGCTTGAAAAAAATTCAAGTGCTATTCAAAATAAATAGCATAAATAAATAGGAAAATAAAGCACACAAGGTACCCAGGAGAAAGTCTGACTTCGGGAAACTACACCAGTTGCATCACATATTTTTGTTGTCTCCTGCCAAAGCAAAAGTGGCACCGGGCAAAGTTAAACAGGTTAAGGAAGATTTTCTTCAAAGCTCTTAAATTAGGAAAAAGGACCAGAACTGAGCTGGATCACAACTCCACTGAAACAAAAGGCCCACGGGCTTTTTAAGAGCTGGTGTCATGTATGGGGAGATGGACAAGAGAAGGGAGTTGAGGGAATTTGGAAGGAGAGATGAACCATGAGAGACTATGGACTCTGAAAAACAACCTGAGGGTTTTGAAGGGGTGGGGGGTGGGAGGTTGGGGGAGCCAGGTGGTGGGTATTAAGGAGGGCACGTATTGCATGGAGCACTGGGTGTGGTGCATAAACAATGAATTCTGTTACACTGAAAAGAAATAAAAAAAAAATAATGGATACAAGATGTTGGTGTTACAGAACTTCAAAAAAACAGAATTTCTTAGAAATTACATAAAAATTTTTCTAGTTGACTTAGTTAATACAAATCTTTCTTTATGTCAGAATGTTGGAACAAAAACCTCAAAGTTATCGAATCCCAACATAGTAAAGTCTGTATATTTGTAAAATGGTTTTGTGGTCTCTCTCTACCACTATATTGGAAACCTTAAAAAGCACAAGTGTTTGTTTTTGCCCTGACCTATTCTGTGACTTTCATTCTGTATATTAGATTTTTTTTTAATGCCTTTGTTTCCTCAACTACACAATAAAAGTTAACCTGTCAAAAAAAAAAAAAAAAAAGAGCTGGTGTCAGACAGCTGCAGGCCATCTGGACTTGCTGATTGGCTTATCTGCATGGGAGGAAGTGGTTTTGGAACTTGGAGTCAGGCTCCTGCTGACCTTAGGCTCCCATCCTTCCACAGAGAAAGGGACATTACCTTCTTTGATGATCTTACTTCAGAGATGGTTCTCAGGTCTTTGAAAAAGACACTCCTAGGGCGCCTGGGTGGCTCAGTGGTTTGAGCTTCTGCTTTGGGCTCAGGTCATGATCCCAGGGTCTTGGGATCGAGCTCCCCCGGGGGTGTCTGCTCAGCAGGGAGCGTGCTTCCCCACCTCTCTCTGCCTGCCTCTCTGCCTACTTGTGATCTCTGTCTGTCAAATAAATAAATAAAATCTTAAAAAAAAAAAAAGAATCAACACTTAAAAAAACAAAAAAAGAAAAAGAAAAGAAAAAAGAAAAAGACACTCCTGGCCTATAAACCTGGGATGAGGCTTTTCAAATGGTTTACATCTCAAAGGGGCAAAGATTCCTAACCATGTTTTCTAGAGTAAATGTTCTGAGAAAAGGGGGTGTCAGTGCTTCCAGTCTAGGAGAAGACAGCCGGAAGTCTAGTCAAGCTGAGGGGAATGTTAAGGCTGTCTTGGTCACCAAGATCCTTTTCTGCCTTGGTGATGTTCAGAAAAGTCTGTGTCCGTATTTCAGTGTTTCTATTAACTACAGTTAGAATTTATAATGTGTGTTGCTCATCTGAAGAAGCAGACACAATGAAGTATAAAGAAATTCACTGGAAGAGCACTGATTATCTTGAAAAGGCCAGCATATGAAGAAAGCAGTGATGAGGAGGCTTAAATTATTGGATGGTGTCCCTGTGAGACCTATTAATTTTCTTCTGTTCTAGGGCGACAGACTATATCCTTTTTTTTTTTTTAAGATTTTATTTATTTATTTGACAGACAGAGATCACAAGTAGGCAGAGAAGCAGGCAGAGAGAGAGGAGGAAGCAGGCTCCCTGCTGATCAGAAAGCCTGATGCGGGCTCTATCCCAGGACCCTGGGATCTTGACCTGAGCCGAAGGCAGAGTCTTTAACCCAGTGAGCCACCCAGGCACCCTGACAGACCATATACTTATTCTCCACTACACACTTTTTGCTATCCATATTGTTGTTCATTAGAATAGCAAAAAATTTCAATTGCTCCTGCACAGAAGACTAGTAAATTACAAACATATCTGTGCATTGGGATTTTTATTTTTATTTTTATGCTGATTCACAGTAATTTTTTTTAAGGTTTTTTGAGACAACAAGGTCCAGTATTTTTTTTTAAAGATTTTGTTTATTTATTTGACAGACAGAGATCACAAGTAGGCAGAGAGATAGGCAGAGAGAGAGAGAGAGAGAGAGGGAAGCAGGCTCCCCGCTGAGCAGAGAGCCCGATGCGGGGCTCGATCCCAGGACTCTGAGATCATGACCTGAGCCGAAGGTTGAGGCTTTAACCCACTGAGCTACCCAGGCTCCCCGATTCACAGTAATTTTTAACAGAAAATTCTTTGAATGGAAATGGGAGTTAGTGGTGAGGAGAAACCTAAATAAATTTATATCAAGGTGGAATTTGAAATGTTTGGAGGAAGTAGTTTATGTATAAATGTGTGTCTTATAAAAAGGATTATTTAAATCATATGCTTATCTGCAGTTAGAGTTCACTGGGTCTAATCCTAGTTAGCTTGCCAGTTTGGAATCCTTGAGTCTGAATACGTGTGTGTGTAAGGGGTAAGTATGTGTACATTCAGAGAAATACAGACACATAGACATCCATATTGTATGTCTGAAAGTAGTATACCTTTTTCTTATATAAATATCATTTATTAATCTTTTGGGTTGAATATTATAATTAGAGTAATTATAAAATGTAAAATCCAGTCATTCCAGTCATTCTCTAAGGGGTCCAGGGGGCTCAGAAATAGAATTGACCCATGTGATTATGTAATTAGGTCTGTTTTTCAAAGAAGGGGTTCATAACCTTACTTTCCAAAGTATAGGTTGTAGACTAGCAGCCTTGGCATCGCTTGGCAGCTGGTTAGAAATCTACAATCTCGGGAGCCACCTCAGATCCAGTAAATCAGAATTTGCGTTCTCAAGAAAAATCTTTTGGTGATTCCTACATGTATAAATATTTGAGAACCACTGGTCTGTAGCTTTTATGAAATTCACAAAGGGTATGAGATCCCCCACAATGATGAGGAACTACTGCTGTAGAGTAACAGTGGCTGGCTTGATTAATTTTATTTCTACTGAATTCAGAGATACTAAACTAACCTGAAATTTACAAGATACTTTTTGGGTGTCTATTATATGCAAGGTATGCTGGGAGATCCAAACATAAATTGATGGGGGGTGGGGACCGGAAGATGGGGCACAAAATACTGTCAGTGGACAGGCATGAATACCAATAATTATAAAGTGGAACCAAATGAAGTTACTATATTTATAGGTAAAAATGGTTCCATATTGGCCATTTCATACCATTTAGATTAAATATATATAACATAAGTTTTATATATTGTGGCAGGAATCAAAAGAGGTATTAGTACATCAACATGAATTGTTAAGTAATACCTCAAAATAAACTTAGAGAAAGGATTGTAGTACATGTGCAATGTTCTATGGCTATTGCATTCATAGACAGAAAATATATTTTCTTAACTCTCTTCTTGAAAGTAAACATCCTAGGAGTCTTAGGTAAATGAGGGCCAAACGATATGCATCCTATAAAATAATGGCAGGTATAATTATATAATGTTTATTGTCATCTATTAGGTGCTTTGACTATCCTATTACCTTTAATATAAACATTATTTCTGTGAGGTTGGTGGTGCCATTACTCTTTTACGGAGGAGACATCAGGCACAAAAAGGCTAACTGATCCTTTCAAGACTACACAAATATAAAGTGGAAGAGCCAGCATTGCAATCTAGGCCTGTTGGACTCCAATTTCTGTGTTCCTTCCAATTTACCCCATGGCTTCCTGGTCTAATCAATGTGCAATTTGGAAAGGAGAGTGGTTTGCACCTGGACCTCCTTGAACTCATGCATGCCCGGGAGTAGATCTTATTATTACACATAATATGCATCTCAGAAAAAATTTTCCTCTGTAGAAAAGTAATTAATCTTATTTGCATTTTCCACTTAATATTTTACTTGACTATTGGCTCTTGTCATGACGATTTTTCTTAAGATATTTTAGAGACTTATCCTAAGGCTCTATAAAGGATGGTTGGAGGAAGGAAAATGTAACTGTCATGCCAACTTCTCATTTAATGCTCACTGGTATATATTCATTAGTCGAGAGAGAGAGAGAGAGAGAGAGAGAGAGAGAGCATGGCAGGAGACGAACAGAGGAAGAGAGAGAGAGAGAATCCTAAGCAGGCTTCATACTCAGCACAGAGCTGGACGCAGGGCTTGATCTCACAACCCTGAGACATCATGACCTGAGCTGAAATCAAGTGTGGGACCCTTAACCAACTGAGTCACCCAGGCACCCCTCTATTCATTAGTCTTTTGCAACACGTAAGTATGGATAGTTGTGCATGAGTTTATATAAATTTAATAATATCCATAATAAATAAGGTCAAAGAGAATGTCAGACTATGTAAGCTGCTCCCTAAAAGCAAGATGTCCAGCTTATTTACCACTGTATCCTCAACACCTAGAAAAGTGATGAACACTTATAATATACAATATATTCATTCATTCAACCAATATTTACTGTTTATAATATTTACATATGAATGAATAAGGTATATTATAAGTATTTTCTTACATTTTTTCAGTTGTACAATTTAATTGTCAAGTAATGTGGGAATATAAAAGAGCAATAGGGTCATTTGTGAACTGGAAAGATGAAGGCATGAATAAATAAAGAGAAAACTGTTCATAAATAAAGAAATTCCTCTGGAGTCATGTTATCCTTGTGGCAGTATTCTATTTCTCTTCCCCAAAGGAGCCTGGTCAGATTGTTAATGGATGATTATCTTACTGTGCATAGTAGTCCACCCTGGTATCTTATTTTGATTGACTGACTGATTGATTGATTGATTTGGGATAGAAGGGGGGAAGAGCAGAGGGAGAAGGAGAGAAAAAATCTTAAGCCGGCTCCATGCCCAACGCAAAGCCCCACGTGACACTCAATCTCATGACCATGAGATCATGACCTGAGCTGAAATCGAGAGTCAGACGCTTAACAGACTGACCCACACAGGTACCCCTTATTTTGCTTTAAATAACATTTTCTTTCTACTTCGCCTTTCTTCAATTTTTTGGACATGGAAAGAAAACACTGCATTTGAATAGTCCTTGAGGTGCCTTCTTATTATTTTATTAAATCACTATGTTTAGTCTCTGAGAATGGAGAAAAGGTATTTTTTTAATCTCCTTTTTATAGAATAGGAAACTATAGTTGAGAGAAGCAAGGTAACTTGCTATCCGGAGTACTGAAAATCTTTGGGATTGCAATTTTCTGCCTCAAAGGTGCCAAGTGGCTTGTTGATTCCATTCTTCACAGAGTCACTGGGAACAATAGCTACGCCTGGGAACTGATTTAGACTCCCCCCACTTAACCCAGCTCAAGTGCCTGTGCCAATATCTCCATGACTACTTGTGGATTAACAGGTAACTAATTCTCCTGGCAGGATAGCCATGGACTGTGGTATCTAGAAAATGAGGTAGGCCTTTGGAAGACTGAGGAAGAGTGAAATGGTGTGCAGGAAGCAAGAGGGACTCAGATAGAGAAGAATAAAATGCACCCATCCAAAAAAAAAAAAAAAAAAAAAAGAAATCTGGCCATTTGCAATAACATGGATGGGAACTAGAGGCTATTATGCTAAATGAAATAAGTCAATCAGAGAAAGAAAATTATCATATGATCTCTCTGATATGAGGAATTTGAGAGGCAAGGCAAGGGGTTGTGGGGGATAGGGAGGGAAAAAATAAAACAAGATGGGATCGGGAGGGAGACAAACCATAAGATACTCTTAATCTCAGGAAACAAACTGAGGGTTGCTGGAGGGGGTAGGAGGGATGTGGCGGCTGGGTGATGGACATTGGGGAGGATATGTGTTATGGTGAGTGCTGTGAAATGTGTAAGACTGATGAATCACAGACCAGTACCCCTGAAGCAAATAATACATTATATGTTAAAAAAAGAGAGAGAGAAAGAGAGTGTGTGTACAGCTCACAGGCAATTCTGGACAGCTCTTAGGAAAATTATGCAAAATTAAGTATGTTTTTAATGGATGATATTTAATGAGCCCTGGGAATTTTGACTTTCCCTGACCCCAATTAACATCTGTGTTGCTTTTGTGACACAACATCATTCAACATTCTTCCGATTTACATCCTCTGTGTGGCACCATTTTCTGGTTTACTCACAGCCCCAGTGGTTTACACGGAGTTAATTGACCTCAAACTCTGAGGTGATCATGTGATCCAGTCTCGCCAACTGGAACACTGCAATCCTCAGGTCATAGTGATTGGTTCAGAAATGGGCACATGACACATGAGAGTCAATAAAACACAGTTAGACCTTTGCTGTAAGCCACCTGGAGGAGACATTCACTGAACACAAAGGGACAGTGCTACCTCCTGGAAATGGACTGTCTGATAGTGGATAAAGAGAGAGAAAGCTGGAAGAGGTCCCAAGGGGATCCATGTCCTGAATACACTGTTCATGTCCTGGTAATAATCTACCCACTATACTGTTTAGTTACATGAGATGGTATAATCCTTTTGTATATAATCCAGTTTTCTGTCATGTTTAATTACAAATCCTAATAGGCCTGGTGCAAAAATACTGTTAAAACTAAGATTCGAAAATTACTTTTGGTCATGATAGTTTTGTCCAATATAAAGAGAGGGCACTTAGAACCTCTTCTGTTTTCTCTTTTCAGGTGACTAATTTTTTCACTAAGAAAATGTGTTATTAGATTGACCAGGAGAAATTTTGTTCCAGTCTTTTTTTTTTTTTTTTTTTTTTAAGATTTATTTATTTATTTTAGAGAGAGAAAGAGAGCATGAGCAGGACAGGACGGGCAGAGGGAGAGGGAGAGAAAATCCTAAGCAGACTCTTCACTGAGTATGGACAGACACCGGACTTATCTCATGACACCAAGATCACCACAAGGAGATCACGGCCTGAGCTGAAACCAAGAGTTGGAAGCTTAACTGACTGCACCACCCAGGTGCCCCTTTTCTATTGTATTAAGTTGTGTGCAGATTTTTACAAAGCATCTGGACTAGATGCAAGAAATTGTGGGTGGATTTCTGAGTTTTTTGAAATTTTGAAGGACTAAAGACTAAGAGAATATTTTAAAATTTTACAGTAAAAACTAAAACCCAAGAAAGAACAACTGAAGGAAACAAACATTCATCATTTTAATCTGTAGCTATGTTATCTGTCCCTGTCAGCATGTCTTATTTGGGGATATCCACGATCTTTGATACAGTATGCCTTTAGAAATCATATTTGTTTCTGTAAGTTGACTAAATTTATAGTTGTAAAACCTTGTCTTCAAATAAAGAATGCTATAATGATTTATCTAATAACAATGAACATCAGTGCACTGAATGAGAATAACAGTATCTGATTTCCTGCTTTATTTCTAGTAATGTTCATTTCTTCTAAGAGTTTTGCTTTTTAAGGAAAACTAACTCTTTAAGGACTCACTCAATCACCTTACTCTTTCTAGGAAACTCACTTAATAGCCATAAAGTTGCTATCCTGTATTTCTTTGCCTGGCTCATTTGGTATATCCTAAGAAATAAATATAAGAAGAATGAAGAAATGCTAGGATTCTGGGAACTTATAGTATGAATTAGAATTTTGATATTGTTTATGAAACAGAAGACAAGTCTGTTTTTGATTCTCTAATAGATTTGAAGAAAACCAAGCTAACCAGTCAATGCCCACTCTGTTGGCTCTAGTTTAAGTGCAAGTTAGCATCATGTACTTGAGAAGATAATAAATGTTAGCAGTTGAGGTAAGGGAAGACATTCATTCCTGTGTCTATCAAACTCTGAGTACATATTTAAAAGAAACACATATGAAGACTGTTCTTGACTGCAAAGAGATTTTGGAGTTCTATGCTATGGGAGCTTATGTGTAGCAGTATGACGTTCATACTGACTTGTGTCAAGAGCTGACCATAAATAATTTATTACTAATGAATATTTTATTAAGAGCTGTGGGAGGCCGCAATAAGGCTTGAGACTAGGACCAAACCACGCCCTGACTTGTGCCTCCTTTAAAGTCCGAATAACCTAACAAAAGGTTTAGGACGGGAAAAGTTGAGTAGCACTGAGAAAGGGTCTGTGCTATGTGTTGTGCGCTCACCTACGTGACTTCCCACACGCTTGCTAAACAAATGAGAACAATTTGGTCGGGGTCATAAGTTCATGGCTGGTCCTTGATTCCCTAGTACAGCCCATAAATTACTTTCAGGTTTGCTGTATCAATACAGAACAATTGTACTGGCATCAGCCGTTTGGCGTCACGAGGTCTGCTTATAGTTACTTGTGAAACTTATTCTGGGATCTCGTGGTTGTTTAACTAGACACAGGTGTATTGCTTCTCCTATTGTAATATCACTATATATATGGCCTTAATGCTTTGAATAAACTTAGCACTGTTAGACATACTCCTCAGTGCTCCTCCTGCCCCCATCTCTTTGCTCCTCGAGTTCTTTTCTTCATCCTCTTACCCTCATGTTCTTGGTCGATTAGTCGTGCCAGCTGTGACAAAGAGCTTACATCTCTTACCTGTGAAACTTCAAAATCTGCCTGGAGATTTCCAGATGTTAACCCACTTAGAAGGACAATTTCATTTTCTTTTGGCCGTTGGACGTTCATGGAGCTGATGAGTTTTGGAAGATCTGGTGAAACATTGACCAATTTCTGTAGTGGAAGAAATAAGTTAGTTTAGATGACTTCTTTTCACCTCGAAAACCCTACTCCAAAACTATTTACTTGCAAAAATAATACATAACTTATGCAAACAATAGATTACTTAATCCACTAAGATTATTACTAGAAGAGACTGTGTGAAATTGAAGCATAAAAGTTTAGATTGGAATAGAAAATTACTTAAACATAAAGCTTTAAAAACTCTTTCAGTTCTAAATTTTCCAAAGTAGGTATTTAATAATTAATGTCACAACACAGGTATATATTGTAGGGGTTTTCTAAAACACTTTTTCTTTTAACTCTTGTAATAAGAGATTTGTTGATTAATAATCATCTGTTCTAACAGTCAATAATAATATCAATAACAAAATAATTTCCAATATTGATTTTACTCTGTGCACTAGGTGCTACGCGAAGTATTGTATACATGTTACATCTCAGTACACTTAATCTCCACAACACCCCCACATGGATTAGATACCATTATTAATTTCTTTTTATACGTAAGTAGCCTGAGGTCCAGAGATTAGTTTACACAAGCTCATACAGCTAAATAAGTGCCAAATTTCTACTCTTAACCATAGCAGAAGATTGTCTCAAATCGCTCATATAAATCTTCAAACACAGAGTCCTCAAGATGCCAACTTGCTCTGGTCTCTCCTGCTGTCTCTTTGACAGACTCTGTCTGTACCGTAAGTCCATTAAATGAAATCATATGTATAAATTTTTTTTTCCCAAAAATTCCTCCAGGACTACACAGATGAATGACACTTGAAGCTCTGTGGAAATCTATAATGGATAATCTGTATGGGCAAGTGGGTTTGAGAAGCTTCAAACCCAGGTGCAGCATTGTTAAGAAAAAACATCACAGGGATAACTGAGTAATCACAGGCCTACTGTTCTGATTGTCAAGCTGCAAATGGTGTCTGTTACACCACTGTATTATACCAAATAGTGAAGTCAAACCATCTTCAGCTTTGGTTATGAATGGATCACCATATCATGCAAATTAATTCTTTCTATTGACCCCCCAATTGGCTCTAGCTCAGAGGACTGAGGGGCCCTTTAAGTTCTTGTGTGTTGTCAAGGGTTTACAACAGGATCTTCCCAAACTTGGATACGGTTGGAATATGTAGCTGCTGCAGAATGCAAGGAGTCCAAGTCCCAGTTGAATGTAGGACTGTAGTTAGAGTGTAGAAACCAAAGCTAGAGACAAAAATTTGATCAAAGCAGCAGGAAGGAGAAGACCTGAGAGCCTCAGAGAAGGGCTGGCTGATATCAAGAGGGTTTGGGAAAAACTTGGAAACATCATCTCAGGCAGGGTGTTTGAAAACAGAGGAGGTGGGGGCAGAGAAAGCCACTATCAGGCCCTGTAGGCAGGGGAAAGCTCCTCTTTGGAGAGAAGCCATCTTGGGGAAGCAAGTTTCACAAGTATAAGGAAGGCAACCTGCATGGGAGGTGGCAGGGGAAGGGTCAGAAAATGGGTTTTGAAGAGACTATCCTACTAAAGACTCTCCAACTGAATGAGAGCCATTTATAGATGAAGTCCTGTCGGTTCTCTGGTCGGTGCAGCCAGCTTTTGTCCCGAGCTCCCAGAGAGCTTTTGCTCCTAGTGTTACCTGCTGCAGGTGCTCTGTGCTGCAAGCATCCTTGTTCACATCCAGGTTCACGAAGCAAACCTGGGAAAAAGCCCCAAAACAACAAAGTAAGTGAAAAACCTGGCAGTTCTTTTCAAAGAAAGCATAGAATCCATTTCTGGCAAATGATTTGAGAACCCTGCACATTTTGTACAGTTGGCCTGGCACAAAAACAGTTACTGTACCTTGGGGTTTCTGTGCAAACCCCTAACACCCTAGGCACAATTCACCCGATCTCATCTTCCATTCATGGTCTAACAAAACCATCTTTATGTATTCAACTCAATGCAAGTCACAACAAGTCTTCACACTTAACAAGGGGTTATCGAATCTCATGAAATGGAGAAAAGACCTGCAAAATTCTAAACTTCTGTTTTTAACTGCAATGGACAATTCTCTTCATTTATCTTTTTTTCTCCTTCCCCCACTTTCTCCTCTCATTTTTAATCCAGTACATGATAAGAAGCTTTCTCTTTATTTCATAGTTTTCATTCATTGAGTTAAACCTGTTGTATAGTTTGCCTCTTTTTAGCCATCCTAAATAAATGTCTGAATATGTTAGACTGTGAAACCAGTAGCAACAATCTTAAAATATAACTCAGAACAACAAGAAGAGAATTGTTGCAGTTTAAATCTCACAGAGCATAGAAAAAAAATCTGCTAAGGACATTTGCATGGAAATGGGTAGAAGAAAACTTAAAACATAAAGAGGTGAGATATATTCTTTTTCTTTTCCCTTAAATAAATAAATTAATTTAATTGGAATCTTATTTGTTTATTTATTTATTTATTGAGTGGGGTTGGCACACGATGTTACATCAGTTTCAGGTGCACATAGTGATTTAGGTTTTTTACTCTCAACAATTTAATTTGCCCATATAAAACTGATAGCATTAATTATCTGAATACTTAGATGTTTGGACTTACATAGATGCTTGGAAGCATACGGGGCCTTCTGACTTCAGTTGTTTGGGTTATAGTTTCTCAGAATCTATCCTTTCTCTTTTTTACATAATTGAAAAAAACATAATTGAAAGATTTGGGGTAAGTCTTTAAGAACTACAATAGTTGTACGGTGCTATAGTGTAAAGCTCACTACCGTTTTATAGGTTTTCTAGATTTCTGAACTCACAATATCCTTGCAGCATCTCTAGGGTACAGTATCTGCTTGTTAAGAATAACCTGATGGGCATTTGGGGGAAGAAGGGGAACAAACTACCATCCACACTCTTAACTCAGAAGTTCTCCTCCATTGGGTTAACAGTATGACTAAATTGGAACCAGGCATGAGCTCCTTCAGGGACAGCACAAAGAGAGGCATGAATAGGAGATGGTGCTTGGAAGGAGTTCCTGGTTTAGAGCAGTTTGTGAATATTCATATAATAACTGGAACTTTGCCCTTGGAAAACTGGTTCAATATCTGTTTGTACTCAGGGGCTTTGAATAACATGCAGTTGGGACTGCTTTTACTGAAGTGATTTGGCAGTTTTCCATTCATCTTAAAGAAAGGTGTATTACCTTGACCTGGCACTGCAAGACTCTTATCTTCTATCACAGTGGGAGAAGATAACACAGAGACCAAGGAAAAGCATCTATAGTAACTAGTTCTCTGCCCTCTGATACTATCTTTTGTTCTCTGAAGATGAACTTCCTTTTTTTTCATCCTGGGCTGCGGTGTGAAATTCTGCCTATGTTTGGATGAAACCCTCCACACTTGCTAGCTGGGCCAAGACTAGAACAAAGTCAGACATAAACCAATAACTTTCTTATACTTGACACATGTATCTTTCCATACCTTGGTGATAGAGGATGATCCAGGTTTTAAGGGCCTGATGGACATACAATTTGGGAAGAACTTTTTTTTCCTTTCCAAATTACTCTTTATTATAAAATTTCCATTGAAAATTTTGCCTCCACTTTCTGTATGTCCAATATATTTTCCACTTTATTCTTTCTTGAGATTCATTCATTCATTCGTTTTATTGTATTATGTTAGTCACCATACAGTACATCATCAGTTTTTGATGTAGTGTTCCAAGATTCATTGTTTGTGAATAACACTCAGTGCTCCATGCAATACCTGACCCCCTTAATACTCATCACTGGGTTAACCCATCTCCTTACCCCCCCACCAAAAGCCTCTGTTTGTTTCTCAAAGTCCACAGTCTCTCATGGTTCACCTCCCCCTTCAATCCCCCCCCTTTCATTTTACCCTTCTTCTCCTAATGTCTTCCATGCTATACCTTATGTTCATCAAATAAGTGAAATAAGATAACTGACTTTCACTTCTTGACTTATTTCACTTAGCATAATCTCTTCCAGTCCCATCCTGTTGGAAGAACTTTTTTAAGAAAAGGAGCAACAGGGGCACCTGGGTGGCTCAGTGGGTTAAGCCTCTGCCTTTGGCTCAGGTCGTGATCTCAGGGTCCTAGGATCGAGCCCTGCATTGGGTTCTCTGGTCCGTGGGGAGCCTGCTTCCCCCCTCCCTCTCTCTCTGTCTGCCTCTCTGCCTACTTGTGATCTCTCTCTGTCCAATAAATAAATAAAATATTTTTAAAAAAAGAAAAAAGAAAAAAAGAAAAGGAACAGCAAGGGGTACCTGGATGGCTTGGTCAGTTAAGCCTCCAACTCTTGATTTTGGCTCAGATCTTGATCTTATGGGTTGTGAGATCAAGCCCCAAGTCGGGGTCCACGCATAGGAGGAATCTGCTTGAATAATCTCTCCCTCTGCTCCTTCCTCCATTCTTTGTTCATTGATTTTTTTTCAGCTTCACAAACTTTTACTGATAATTTCTTATACATATTCCAAGTTGTTGTCAAATTCAGTGGGAAACCACTCTAAAATTTCTTTCATGTGTGAGTTGTTCTAGGTGTACTCACTATTTATAATACTATTATAAGTTTGTGCTCTACAAACATGAGAATTTGAATAAATTCTCTTTTGTTTGATTCCCATTAAAAAAGGAAAAAAATGCATGGTGCAATTATGATTTTCAACGCTTTCAAATAAATTTCCTCCAGTTGAGAACTTCTCTGTTGACTAGGCATCAGTGAGACCTAGTCTTGTATTATAAGTTCATACGTCTGATGACTGAAAGAATTCTCCACAGACTAGCTGCCAGCACATAAATCTTGTTTTCTCTCCACTATCTACATATTTCTAATGTTGGAAACAGTAGGACATACCTTATATTGTGAAACCATCTCTGACATGATACCTTCATGTCTCAATGTCTGACTGAGTTCCACTGTCAATGGTAAAAATATTCCTGAGAGCCATTACTACATGTGCATGGCTAGCAATTGCTTAACTATACACTAAATCTATCAAGCCACATAAATTTATCTCATGTAAATACACCCCCACTCAATTTGCCTTATGTCCGACCCCACACATTTGTGGTCACTCCAATGATTCTTAACATAACAAGACGTAGTAGGAATCTGATTGGAAGGAGATAATTTTAATTACCATGTCTTCCTTTTGAAAATTTCACAAAAACATGTAACCATGTGAGGTCCTACGGAGCCCTGAGTTTTCAGCTTTGATGGTTTTATAGTAAATCCACATCATGCTAAAGTGGTCCATGTAATGGTGTTGATCTCTTCGTATGTTCACTTTCTGTGACCTTGGGACCTTTACTGACATTTAGGCATCCATTAACACTGAACTCCAAATGGAGAATGTGACAAGTTTGTGTCCAGAAGAGCTGAAGAATGGTAGGGTGTGGGGTAGGAGATTTGTGCAAGTTGAGGAGAGGGCATAGAGCTCTGTGTTTCCAACGGGTATGGTTTTGACGCTGGGTTCTGAGAAGACAAGCAATATGAGGTACTGTTCTTACTCTCAGGGAGTTATGGTCTGGAGTTAGAACACATTTCTCAAATCTATGAAGCACATTATTAAGTATTACAGAAGTGACAGGCCTACGTGCTGGAGATGAAGGTGGGAGAAGGGGGTCAATCACAAACAGCATTGAAAGGAAGGCTGGATTCAAGGTGAGCGGGCAGGACACATTTAAAATGGTCCGAGCAATGAACAGATGACTTCCTCCTGATCAGCCCCTGATGAGTGACAGTAAGAGGCTCTGGGTTAAGCACAAGGTAAAGAGGAGGAGGACACAGAGGCCGTGAAGTCCAAGGCAAGAGTCACGTCCTAGAGAAATTCCAGAAGTGAGGCCAAAGTTTGTGAGCAATATGCCTTTCTTTCTATACTGTGAAGATTCTGGGCATAATTCAAAGAGTTGGAGTAAAGAAGAGTTGGAGTAAAGAAGACATCATCATTTTATGCTATGCTCCCTGTGCCATGAAAGTTGAGAAAGACCTGAGGGTTAGAATTTCCCTCCCAACAAGTGAGGCTGCTCCCTGTGTTATTGCAGCCAGTTGTAAGGAAACTTTCACTAACAGAAGTTGAAAATAATCCTCTGCAGGCTTAGGGTGAGTGTTCTATGTGACTAAAATATTAAAGTCTGGGAGATTTTGCATTATGGTTCTATGTGTGTCAAAACAGGTCCTTCAGGGTCTGGAGAGAACTCCTCGAGTGGGGAGGTTGACGCTATATGTCAGAGATACCAGCCAGTTGGGAATAAGATGTAACTTCTCTGTGTTGACTCTTCATCTCAGTCTGGAGTGATGCTATTGGGTTATGTGTAAAATGCCTGAAGGGGCAAATCCAAATATAACAAATGATCCAGGGAAATTTTTTTAAGTATCTGCATTTATTTAATAATCTCTTAAACATAGTTTATTTCCCTTCAGCCTACACTAGATTTTTTATTCATGAAGGCAGGCCCTGATAGCTTAGTGTTTAGCAAAGCCTGGTACTTGGCAGGTGCTCAATAAATGTTGATAAATGCATATGCATGCATGGAGTGGAAGCACTGTCTCAGTTATTAGGGACATCACCCCTGTAATAATTATTTTCCTTATTTATGTTGTCAGTTCCGATGCTGTCAATAAAAGGTTTCTTCCAATAAGGATATAAGGGAGTAGATAGAGAAGTTATAGAATTAACGGAGCTAATGTTAATCCATCAGTTGGTACTG